GGCAGCTTAACCTCCTGCTGTGCGTGCAGGGCAGGGTGGTAGACAGCTGTCCTTAGGCAATTTAAGGACAGTATTCCATTGTCTTCTGAAAAGGAGTTAGCCATTATCCCTTGTCTGCATGCATAGTTTTTCTCTGGTTGCTTTTAAAAATTTTCCTTTCATTTCTATTAAGTCAGTAACTGTGAAAGTGTAAACCAGTTAGCCTGTCACAATGGTGAAGATTTGGCAGGATATACGGAAGACAGTTTATTACAGCAACAGCAGACAAATATTGAGCCGCAATTTCCATGGGGGTATGTATGTTATAAAGAGATCTTGTCTTGGCAAACCAGCCAAGAGTGTAGGATTTAGGGAGAGTGGGGGGTCACAGGAAGAGGGGCAGAGAATCTGACAGAGTGTATTCTCCTGAGCTTGCTTTTCAGAGGATGTTCCAGGGAGTTCATCGACTGTTTGGGACGCCCGCGTCCCAGATCAGAGCGCCGGTTCAAGTCCGGGGCACTCTGCTTCCAATCCAGCTCCCTGCTAATGTGCCTGGGAAGCAGCTCAAGTGCTGGAGTTCCTGCCATCCACCTGGGAGACTCAATCCTGACTCCTGGCTTTAGCATGGCCCAGCCCTGGTGGTGAAACCATCTGGGGAATAGAACAGTAGCTGAAAGACCTTTCTCTCTTTCTCTCTCTGTCATCCTGCCTTTGAAATAAAAAAAATTAAAAAAAAAAAAAAGAAAAGAAAAGAAAAAGAAAAGCTGCATGAGAGTATTTCAGGCATGGAAAGCCAAGACACTCTGGCAAAAGATCTCTGTGAGTGAGATCCCAGTGGAAAGAACAGGTCTTCAAAGAAGGAGGTACCTTTCTCTGAAGGGAGGAGAGAACCTCCACTTTGACTATGACCTTGTCTAAACAAGATAAGAATCAGAGAACTCAGAGGGCTTCCATAGCCTTGGAAACTCATGACCGGAGCATAGGGAGACTACTGATGCCATAGACAGGAGTGTCAATTGGTAAAGTCAACAACAGGAGTCACTGTGCACTTACTCCTCATGTAGGATCTCTGTCCTTAATGTGCTGTGTATTGAGATTTAATGCTATAATGAGTACTCAAACAATATATTTCACTTTGTGTTTTTATGGGGGTGCAAACTGTTGAAATCTTTACTTAATGCATACTAAACTGATCCTCTGTAAAAGAAAAAAAAAAAAAAAGAAATTATCAACTCCCAACTTGACTCTCACTGGGATTAAACATGACAATAGGTCTGATCTGATTTCATCATCATTTAAAAAAAAATCATCTATTATTTTTCACTTTATGTTTCTGTGTGGGAGCAAACTGTTGAAATCCTTCTTAATGTATACTAAGCTGATCTTCTGTATATTAAGATAATCGAAAATGAATCTTGATGTGAATGGAAGGGGAGAGGGAGTGGGAAAGGGGAGGGTAGTGGGTGGGAGGGACGGTATGTGGGGGAAGCTATTGTAATCCATAAATCGTACTTTGGAAATTTATATTCATTAAATAAAAGTTAAGAAAAAAAAGAAAAAGAAAAGCTGCAAGAAATGAGTCAGAGTCTTGAACATGGAGTACATAAAGGTGTGCGGCGCAAGCAGGAAGAGCTCTCCCCTTCCTCCTCGTCTACACCCTGGGCACACCCCTAAGCCTTGCTATAAAAGCCCTAGCAAATTGCTTTACAGGGAGGCACTTTCTTTTCGGGAGCTATATCTTCCCACTATTTCCTTTATTTGTCACCAATAAAGCTTTCCCCTGAGCAACTCTCACTTGAGGCTGGTTCCTTGGTGACACCGCAAGCAATCGGAGCTCTTGTGTTCTGCTAGAACAGCCTGCCTGGGCTTCACACTAGACAGCCAAGATTGAGATGTTTCTTCACTCCATGGTAATACACATAGAGACGTCGCTCCCACTGGAACAGGTTCATTATATTTCACGTGGTGCCTTAGTAAGATGATTATATTTCTGCTGAAATTCCTGATCTCTTAATTCATTGGCCCCTTTTTCCCTATAGGTTCTTTTTTTAAAAAAAGATTTATTTATTTATTTGAAAGTCAGAGTTACACAGGGAGAGGAGAGGAGAGGCAGAGAGAGAGAGAGGTCTTCCATCTGATGGTTCACTCCCCAGATGGCCACAACGACCAGAGCTGTGCCAATCCGAAGCAAGGAGCCAGGAGCTTCTTCCGGTCTCCCACATGGGTGCAGGGGCCCAAGGACTTGGGGCTGTCTTCTACTGCTTTCCCAGGCCACAGGCAGAGAGCTGGATTGGAAGTGGAGCAGCTGGGTCTTGAACTGGAGCTCATATGGGATGCCGGTGCTTCAGGCTAGAGCGTTAACCTGCTGAGCCACAGCACTGGGCCCCCCCCCCCCATAGGTTCTTTATCATATTTATTATAGTTTTTGTTTATTATTCCATAGCCTTTAATTCCACATCTTGGTTACCCGTGCTCCAATTGACTGATTTTTCTTCCTCTTGACTATGATTTACATTATTCTCTGCCTTTGAATCTTTAACTTTTTGTTATCTGGTGGACATTGCGAATGATTCATTGTCAATGATTCACTGCTCTGAATCCTGTTATCTTCCTCTGGAGAGTGTCAAGTGTTGTTCCAACAGGAAGCTGAATTATTGGAAGCCCACGCTGGTTTTGCAGAGACTTGGTTTTGCACTTTGATGGATTTATTTCAGTTTTCTCTCTGATTCTAGGGTCTATCCCTTAATCCCGGGTTGCCATTTTCCTCCTTAGGTGCAGCCATTCTGGGATTTCAGTGGAAAGACCACGGTCTTTGCCAAGCTCCTGCAAGACGGGCAGGAGTTGAACTCCAAGCCCCAGCAGCAGGCAACTAACTGCTCAGCTCTCTTCTCACTACCGTTTCCCTTTGCGATCTCTGAAGTCTGGCGCATACATGCTCATCCAGGAGCCGGTTCAAAGGATTTCAAGGGAGTTTGGATGCAGATGTTGGGCCTTGCTCATCTTTGGCTCCTTCCTTTTTAGGATTTTGCTCCTTCAGTGTCTCCTCTGCCCCAGCACGATTTTTTTTTTTTTTTTTTGACAGGCAGAGTGGACAGTGAGAGAGAGAGAGAGAAAGGTCTTCCTTTGCCGTTGGTTCACCCTCCAATGGCCGCCGCGGCCAGCGCGCTGATCCGATGGCAGGAGCCAGGTGTTTCTCCTGGTCTCCCATGGGGTGCAGGGCCCAAGCACTTGGGCCATCCTCCACTGCACTCCCTGGCCACAGCAGAGAGCTGGCCTGGAAGAGGGGCAACTGGAACAGAATCTGGTGCCTCGACCGGGACTAGAACTCAGTGTGCCAGCGCCGCAAGGTGGAGGATTAGCCTAGTGAGCCGCGGCACCGGCCTCCCAGCACGAATTTGTATCACACACTACTACTCTCTCCCCTGCGAGGCTGTGTGCTTTCGGGCTGTTTGGTTCATTTTTCTCTCTTCTAACCCATGGCCTGGCATACAAACAGTGGACACATAATAAATATTTATAGAGTGAATTAATAAATTATAGGAGTACCGACCTAGTAACAGGGCTCCATGGTAAAAAAGGCAAAGCAGGGGCCAGTGTTGCGGTGCAGTGGGTTAAGCTGCCACTCGTGACTCCAGTGTCCCATGTGAGAGCTGGAATCCCAGCTGCTCCATTTCCAATCCAGCTCCCTGTTCGTGTGCCTGGGAAAGCAGCGGAAGATGGCCCAAGTACTTGGGACCCTGCCACCTGCGTGGGAGACCTGGCAGAAGTTCCTGGCTCCTGGCTTTGGCCTGGCCCAGCCCCGGCTGCTGTGGGCATTTGGGGAGAGAACCGGTGGATGGAAGAAAAACTCTGCCTTTCAAATAAATAAATATATATTTTTTAAAATGACAAATCCTACTAAAAAAGACAAACCAGCAATGCTGCACAGTGATTTATTTGGATGCTGGCTGGCCAAGGAACTCTGGGCAGGTTATATAAATTCTCTGAACTTAATTTTCCTTATATGAAAGTCTTCCGGCCGGCACCGCGGCTCAATAGGCTAATCCTCCAGCTAGCGGCGCCGCCACACCGGGTTCTAGTCCCGGTCGGGGCACCGGATTCTGTCCTGGTTGCCCCTCTTCCAGGCCAGCTCTCTGCTGTGGCCAGGGAGTGCAGTGGAGGATGGCCCGAGTGCTTGGGCCCTGCACCCCATGGGAGACCAGGAGAAGCACCTGGCTCCTGCCATCGGATCAGCGCGGTGCGCAGGTCGCAGCATGCCAGCCGTGGCGGCCATTGGAGGGTGAACCAACGGAAAAAGTATGACCTTTCTCTCTGTCTCTCTCTCTCACTATCCACTCTGCCTGTCAAAAAAAAAAAAAAAAAAAAAAGTCTTCCTGCCTCGCAGGGTCGTTCTTATGGGGAGTAATGCGTTGAGGCTGATGACTACGGAGCTCACACTCAAGGGAAAGTCATTATGCTGATGGCGGTTGAAGTTCTTAGGAGAGAACCGGCTCAGCTCAGATCTGAGGCAGCATCAGATCCAGAGATGGCTTCTCCAGGTTGTGAGTGCCCATGGGAGCTAAAAGACCACCGGGTATACCAGAAATGCTTAGGTATCTGCATATAAACCGCATAGCGCCAGCGAGTGGGAAACGGACAACCTGCCAATGGCAGCCTCTGTCCGAGGATACTTTTGCAAAGTTCAAGTTCTAAGGCACAGCTATTTGCCACCATGCCACCAATCCGCACGCCAGCCGCCAAAACTGTGAACGCCGACGATGCAACTTTTTCTCTCGTGCTCAACTAAGTAAGTAGTGAATACATAATGGACTTGCAGGGACTCTAAATTACCGCCCTGCTCCAGGCATGCACGTTTCTGGGTCTGGCCTCAGTTTCCGGTTTACGTGCTGGAAAAACAAACCAGAGGGCTCCCGAGCTGCGGAGCGCGCAGGTCGGGCCGCGCAGTGCGGGACGCCAGGCCCTGCCCCGCGGCCCGCCCGGCGCCGCCGCCGTCAGACCAGTCGGACGGCTTCGCCCCCCGCCCCTCCCCGCCCCGCGCGCCGCCGCCCGCCCGGAAACCGAGTCCCTCCTGAGAGCGTCCGAGCTGGACGGGCCCAGCCCCGCGCAGTCGCCGCCCCGCAGCCTCGCTGCCCCCGGCCGGCGCCCGGGCGCGGGGCCATGGGGCGCCCGGGCCGGCGAGAGGCCCGAGCAGGAGCCCGGCGGGAAGTGGGTAAGGGCACGTGGGGCGGGCCGGGCCGGGGAGCACCTGCGGGGTGGCTGTCGCCTGCGACGCTGGAGGCAATGGGCCTGGAGCCGAGGAGAGGCTGCAGGAGGGTCGACAGCGAGCGGGGGACCCTAAGAACCCAGCCTGCCCTGGGGGGAGAGGGTGACGGGGCCGGGGAGCAGCCGGGGCCGCTGGGCTGCGCCTCCCTGGGAGGTTCTCCCGCGGGCTCCTCCTGCGGGGCTGCTGGATCTGGGCTCCTCGTCCCGCTGGAGAACAGGGCGCCCTTACAGCCCTCCAGTGGCGCAGCCGGGCAACACTGACAGCTTTGCTCCCGAGCTCCTACTGCCCAGTGCCTCAGTGGTCCCTGGTGCCCGGGACCCGGCAGGCTCTTCTCCCTGTCTGTCTGCCCCCAGGAATGCGCTGGCACGAATGGGAGCCCACCTGTTCCCTGCCGCCTTGGCCCCTGGCTGCTCTGGGCCTGCGTGGCGGAGGGAAACAGTCTCCCAGCTGACAAACTTTCCTCCCCTCCAGGGCTCCCGGCTTATCTTTCCAGTAGGAAGAGCGAGCCTGAGATGTGAGTTCCTTGCTGTTTTTTTTTTTTTTTTTTTTTCCCAGCCTGCCCTTGGGGTAGTGCTACCTTCGTCAGTGGGCCCACCGGACCCACGTGTCTGCAGCCGGCGTGCAGGCCTGGGTCAGGGGAACAGCATTCAAGTACAGGCCTGAGCAGGGAGGGCCTCCCCCTGCGGTGCACCCCATTAGCCCAGCCGCTCTCCAGGCCCGGAGCTGATTGGATGTAATTAACAACTAATTGGATGTGAAACTCAGCAAGGTCAAGTTTAGGCGGCAGGTGGTGCTTGAGTGATTCATTCAGCCCAGGTAGTATTTTGTCTCTGTGGTGGGTATGAAGAAGAGTGGTTCCTTCACTCAGCGAATATTTCCTGAGAGCCAACTACGGACCAGGCATCATCAGGACACGGTCATGTGCCTGCAGGTTGTAGGAGAGAGAGAGAACAAGCTTGGCCACAGAGGAAGTGCCTTATTGCAGAGAGGGATCGATGCTGAGAAAGCAAAAGGCAGAAAATCGCAGAAGGGGGTGACGAGAAGCATGATGGAGAAACTGTGAGAAAAACTGGCCCTGGCGGGAAAGGGTAGCAAGGGGACTTTGTCACCGCATTTTCACGCTCGGGATGGGGTGGCCTCTGCTCCTGTGAGCAGGAAGTTGTAAGCCACGGTCAGTGCATGATGGACAAGTGTGGATTAGCTCCACCCTGCAGTCCAGCGAGTGTGTTTCTTCCTGGGAGGCTTAAATCTGCCTTAGAATTAAGCTTCCCCAGAACATATTGTATGCTCTGTTGGCTCGCTCACTCTCTCATTGGTTCGTTTGTTCAGCAAATATGAAGAGACTTCACAAAGATCATAGAAGATGGCATTAAAACTTAAGGTTAGGGGCCGGTGCTGTGGCGTAGTAGGTTAAGCCTCCGCCTGCTGCGCTGGCGCCTCGTGTGGGTGCAGGTTCGTGTCCTTGCTGCTCCACTTCCAACCCAACTTCCTGCAACGGCCTGGGAAAGCAGAGGAAGATGGCCCGAGTGCTTGGACCCCTGGACCCACGTGGGAGACCCAGAAGAAGCTCCTGGCTCCTGGCTTCAGCTCCAGCTGTTGTGGCCATTTGGGGAGTGAACCAGCAGATGGAAAACCTCTTGCTCTGTTTCTCCCTCTCTCTGTAACTCTGCCTCTCAAATAAATAAATAAATCTTAAAAAAAACCCACAAATTTATTTCACTGCAAAAATTTTGAACCCATTACACAGATGTTCTAGAAGTTCATAGAAATTGCATATTATGGAAAAAACTATGCATGGCTTTCAGAGCTTTTTTGCACCAAAACATCCTTTTAAAAAAGATTTATTTATTTGAAAGCCAGAGCAACAGAGAAAGAGGGAAAGACAGAGATTTTCCGTCTGCTGCTTCACTTCCCTAGAAGTCTCAATACCTAAGTCTGGGCCAGGCCAAAGCCAGGAGCCAGGAACTCCATCCTGGGCTCCCACGTGGATGGCAGGGGCCCAAGCACTTGGGCTGTCATCGTTTGCCATGCCAGGTGCATTGGCAGGAAGCCAGATCAGAAGCAGAGTAGCTGGGACTGAAACCTGTGCTCTGATTTGGGATGCCCCTGTCACAAGGGAATGTGAAATCCCTGGCACCACAGCGCGGGCCCCAACAGACATCTCTTAACTGTTTTCTCCGTGAACATTTTGCGGTACATTTGCTTTTATCAAGGGCCTGTATGAGCTAGGGATGGACCAGGTTTTAAGGATGTGTCAGAGAATGGACAGTCCTTCCTCTCACAGAGCTTGTTTTCCGGTGGAGAGAACAGACAATGTATTTGATGTTAATGGTGTGTCGGATCAGTGCTGTGGAGAAAAAGTGGTTAAAAGGGTACAGAGCTGCTGTGTTCAGTGGAGTGCTCAGGACAGGCCATGCTGAGATGAAAGATTAGCAGAGACCTGCCTGAAGACAAGTGACCATCTGGGGAAAGAACATTCTAGCCAAAGGGAACAGTGAGTGCCAGGGTCCTGAGGCATGAGCGTGCGGAACATTCTGGAGGAATTGGAAGGAATCTAGTGTGGTTCTGGGAGTTAAAGGGGTGTCTCAGAGCCCTCCGTAAGGGAGGCGGGAGGTGGGAGATGGGGAGGGCTCAGCGTGGTGACCAGAAGCATCCAGGAGAGCACGTGGTGCCACAGGTGCCGTGGCAGGAAGATTTCCATGCTCCCAGAGGAGCCTGGGGTCAGCCTTGTGGTTTACACGAAGCAGGGCAAGAGGTGACCTCCAGAGGTGAAGAGCTTATCTCCTGCTAAGAGACATATCACCTACTTTTCTTTAAAAAAATTATTCTTAAGAATTTTATTTTTTTAAAGACTTATTTATTTGCAAGGCAGAGTTACAAAGAAGCAGAGGCAGAGAGAGAGGTCTTCTATCCTCTGGTTTCTCCCCAAATGGCCGTAAACGCTGGAGCTGGGCCAATTGGAAGCCAGGAGCCAGTAGCTTCTTCCAGGTCTCCCACGCAGGTGCAGGGGCCCAAGGACTTGGGCCATCTTCTACTGCTTTCCCAGGCCACAGCCGAGAGCTGGATCAGAAGTGGAGCAGCTGGGACTCAAACCGGCAGCCGTATGGGATGCTGGCACTGCAGGTGGCGACTTACCTGCTATGCCACAGCGCCGGCCCTTCTCAATGTTTTCATGTAAGTGAAGACCTTGGGAGCTGGACATAGGGAGAGAAACTGCTACCTTCTGGGAAAAATCCCAATACTCAACTCTTTCATCCTTAAACTCATTAGATGGTCTCATTGGCAGGTGTATTGAAAATACTGGCGTGGGTGTTTGGCACAGCAGTTAAGCTACTGCACGGGATGCCTGCATCCCATATCACAGTGCTTGAGTTCAAGTCTCTGCTCCACTCTCGATTCCAGCTTCCTGTTAACCTGCACCCTGGGAGGCAGCAGATGATGGCTGAAGTGCTTGAGCCCTTGCCACCCGTGTAGGAGACCTGGATTGAGTTCTGGGCTCCTGGCTTCAGCCTGTGCCAGCTTTGGCTATTGAAGGTTTTGGGGGAGTGAACCAGCAGATGGAAGATATCCTACTGTCTGTCTATCTGCCTTTCAAAATAAATAAGTAAATAATAAAATGCCAACAGGAGAGCATATAATAATTGGTACTTATTGAATGTGTCATGCCCTCTTTTGTGTAATAATAATTATATAAATAATCTTTCATAGCAATTCTGTGAGATATATACTTTTACTATTCCATTTCCCAGATGAAAAAACTGAAAGTTGCCCAAGCTTACAAGTAAGTGAAGAATTAGAACTTGCTATCGAATGGTGCAATTTTTGAGCCAATATTCTTAACTGCTATACCATAGTAATGTGTCGCTCCCCGTCTTCGTGGAGGAACGACACAGGACCCTGCGCTGTTCTTTTGTCTGCTCGGCCCTCCCCGGGTTTGCTGCTGGTTCTTCCCGGGTTGGCTACCGGTTCCCCCTGGCCACTTTCCCCACTTCCACGGGGGAGCGGCACACCGCCGGCCAGCTCTCTCGGGGGCTGCACAGGTGTTCCCCTTAGATGTTCCCCTTAGATGTTCCTGGTGCATGCCGTCTCTCTCCTCCTTTATAGTCCTCCTCCGCCAATCCCAACTTGGCTGCCCACACGCCGAGTACGCTGCTCTCCTCCAATCAGGAGCAGGATCAGCTCCTGGAGGTCATCACTCAAGTTGGCAAGAGGCAGCTGTGTAGAAGCTGTTTTCTCCTCTCCCAGCGCCATATTGTGGGAGAGCAGATGCATAGAATAAGTCTTAATATCAGTAACTCAGTCCAGTCTGGGTTGCTCCCCACAGTAATGGTCTGACCTTGGGCCCACACTGCTAAGTCATTCTGTCTACCAAGATGGAGTTCTGTGTGCCGCCCCAGCTTTGGGGAAGCACAGAGTTGGCAAATGAAATTGGCCCCTTTATAAAATGGTTGTGGCCGTGTGGCAGGTGCTGGTCCCGGGCCGAGGTGAGGACACAGATACAGAGTGAAGACTGTGTAGGGCGCTCTGGGTCAGACTCCAGTCTGTTCCCCTCCAGTGCTGGGACCCAGCTTCACAGCCAGGGCCTGGCTGCCCTGCAGGTATTGCAGCCCCTCAGCTGTCCCCTGGGCCTGCTTAGATGTCAGCTGTGTTCCTGCTCCTCTCCCTCTCCCAGTCCAGGCTGGACGCCTGCATCATGGAGGCCATTGAGGTTTGGCCAATGGTGGGGTCTGGAGGAAGTTGGTGTCTTGGTCCATTTCCTGTTGTAGCAGACTAGCTGAGACTGGGCCGTTGGTAAAGGAGAGAGGTTTACAGAGCTCACAGCTCTGGAGGCTGAACTGAAGTTGAGGCTGAAGTGCAAGAGTGTGGTGCTGGCATGTGGTGAGGGCCGTCTTGCTGCTTCAGAGCATGGGAGTGGGGGTGGCACGTGGTGACACAGAGCAAGCTAGCTAGAGAGCTGCTTCCATACATAGCAAGGCCACTCTGCTTTGGCTCCTCAATGCATTAATCCATTCATTCAGAAATGAATGACTCCATTCACAAGGACAGATTCCACCCCACCCCACCCCCACCAATCACCTCTCCAGTGCCACCAACATGTGGCTGAGCTTAAGTCTCCACACAGGAAGCTTGGGGGACACATTCCCTTTGGTTCCCCTGACTTCTACACCAAAGACTGTAGTGATGGGGAAGGTACCTAGTCATAAGCTTAGAGTGCTGTCAGAAGGGGCAAAAGCAAGAGGTGTCTGCTTGATGTGGGGTCACAGGAGGCGTGTTGAGTTGGCTGAAGGGATGTTTGTCCTCAGGGCTCTGTAGTACATGGAAGCAGGGGGTGGTTAGAGGCCAGCATTGCTGTAGGACGAGTTAAGCTGTTGCTTACATCCCCAACATCCCACATCAGAGTGCCAATTTGAGTCCCTGCTGCTCCGCTTCTGATCCAACTCCCTGCTAATGCACCTGGGGAGACAGCAGAAGATGGTCCAGGTGCTTGGACTGCTGTCATCCGTGTGGGAGACC